TCGCCCGACTCGCCCACCCGTTGACCACACTGCAGCGCCACGTGGCTGAGCAGCTCGACGAGCGCGCTGGCCGAGGCTGCGTCTTGGAAGCCGACAAAGTGGCGTGCGGCGTGCTGGCTGTCGGTCTCGCTCGAGGTGTAGAGGCGGTGTGCGCGCTGCCAAAAGTCCGGAGCGTCCGATGCCGATGAGTCGCCTTTGTTGGCTGGACCGGGCTCGGCGATGCGCACAAACACACGCGAGGGCATGGCGGTGATCAACAGCTTGAGCAGCTCGAGCGCGTCGAGCATCTGGCTGGTGCTTGCACCGTCCTTGTCTTGATCGTGTGCGAGGAGCTGGTCAAGCAGCTGCGTGACGGCGGCAAAGAGGAGCGGGACGTGAATGTGCTTTGTCTCGTCGTCGTGGATGTGAAAGGCCTTGAAAATAAAGCAGAGGAGCGACAGGGGCGATCTCCCATCTTCCGTGGAGCCTTGTTTGGACTGCATCGTCTGGGTGATGGCGTGAAGGAAGCGACCATACAGCAAAAACGGATCGATGACTTCAAAGAGCATCTTTGCTGTGGTCACCAGTTCCTCCTCCTGCCTCTTTGCGACCTGCAGGCTGATGGCGTGGAAAGCGTCGAGGGCGAGGACGCGTGTGAGGGACTGGCCGATCTCCCACTTGTCGAGCAGCGAGACAAAGATGCGGTACGGTTTCTGGCGCTCGAGCGTATCGAGGGCCGAGGCGCCGTGGAAGCCCTGTGCGAGAGCGCTGCGGACGAGGTCGAGTGCGTTTTCGTCGAGAAAGGCGATCTGTGCCGCGGGTGTCTCGTCTGCGCCGAGGAGCCAGGTGTAGAGCCGACGGTTGAGGCTGAGGTCCTTGCGGAGGACGACGTGCAGGGCGGATCGAACGAGGAGGATCTGGTCGGGCCGTTTGACGAAGCGGCGAAAGAGCGGCTTGTCGACGGCGAGGTGGGTGACGAGGATGTCGAGCGTGTTGCGGCGCACGAGGAGGAGGTCGTCGTCGAGGGCGTGGGCAAGACCGCGAACCATGAGGCCGAGGTCCTTGCCGACGAGCAGCGTGGGGTCGTCGTGCTGCGTGAGGTCGGGCATCCTGCGGGTGAGATAGTTGAGCGCGGCGAGGCGCACGGACGGCGTGGTGATGAGCGTAAGCCAGAGGTTCTGCAGAAAGTACGCCGGCTCCACAGCGTCCGAGATGCGGTCGAGCAGGCGGATTGTGCGGTCAAAGTACTCGCCCGTCTCTTCCTCGAGACCGGGGAGCAGGGCCATCTGGAGCGCCCTCGTGAGCGGACGCAGGTCGTCGTGGAGCGGCAGGTAAAAGGTCTCGTAGATGGCGAGCAGCGTAGGCTTGACCGACGTGGAGGCATACTGAAAGAAGGGGAGGAGGCCCGACGTCCATACGTGGAGGTCTCTGCGCAGGCCGTCGGGGCCGACGACGCTGAGGATGTGGTGGTAGACATCGAGCGCGCGCTGGTGGACGCCCGAAGGCAGCGCCGGGTTGAGACACTGCGCGAGACGCTTTGCGACGATGAGCTTGCGCGGCACCACGTTGTACGCCGGATACGCCTGGATGGCCTTGTGGAGGCGCGCGAGGAACGAGATGAAGTCGGCCCACTCGCTGACGCTGTCGAAGGATGCGAGGGTGCGCTCTACGAGGGCGAGGTACTTTTTGAACTTGGCATCCGAGTAGAGCGCGCACTCGGTCTGGAGCGCCCAGCTCTTCTCTGCGCGTTTTGCGGCGGAGGTCTTCCAGAGCTGGCTCGACTCGATGACGCTGGTGGTGGGGCGTGGGTTGGAGGAGGACGGCAGCACGGAGCGTGGACGAGGCGCATCGTTGGCGGTGCGCAGTGAAGCGTGGGTGTGGGCGGTGGAGGCGGATGCGGCCGAGCTGAGGTCGAGCTGTACATCGGGCGAGGAAGGCTTGAGCGTGGGCGGCGGCGGCGGTGCGACGAGGCGCGAAGGGAGCGAGCTGAGCGAGGTGCTGCTGCCGCCTGCCCTGCGCGGTGCGCGATGTGTTGGAGCATCTGTGCTTGCGGCCCTATCCAAGGGGCTCGACATTGTGAGCGTGCGCGGTATGCTCAGCAGCGTGTATGCATGGTGGTGGTGGTGGTGGTGGTGGCAGTAGTGGTGGTTGGTTCAAAGTGTTGGTCTTTGCGGCAACGCGTGCGGATAGCCAATCTAACATTATTTAGTTTGGCGCCCTGCCCGTTCGGCTCTTCCGCGTGTGGAGGAGGAGTGCTGAGTGATGCTGTCGAGTTGTCGAGCTAAAGTGCCTTTTTGGCTGCGACGATGCTCCTTTGGCTCAGTCGACCATCATCGCAGCCGCCGCAAGACTACGATCCCCACGATGGCCGAGAGCGAACGAGCAACGACCAGCAACGACTCGCCGAATCCGTATCTGACACGGCCCAGCACATCGACGACAGGGGCAACGACAGCGTCGTCCTCCTCCTCATCCTCCTCCTCGGCCACGACAAGCAAAGGCGCCGAGGCCAAACACGAGACGCGGCTGTACGTGGGCAACCTGCATACCACGGTGGACGAGTATACGCTCATCCAGACGTTCGCCAAGTACGGCAAGATTGCGAAGCTCGACTTTCTGTTCCACAAGAGCGGGCCGCAGCGCGGGCAGCCGCGAGGCTATGCGTTTGTCGAGTATGCGCATGCGGACGAGGCGTTGCGCGCGCTCGCAGCCACGCACGGCAAGACGCTGCGAGGACGCAGGATCGCGGTCAGCTTTGCCTCCAAGACTGCCGATGCGGACCAGCACGCAGCCGCGGCGGGTGTAGGCGCGCATCGACGCGACCGAAGAGCTGGGCACGATGGCCAAGCCGCCAGGACGACGCAGCTGAGCCTGAGCAAGAACGCAAAGCAGCCGCACTCGACCGACGCCAAGATCGCCGCCATGGAGGCCAAGCTCGCCCACCTGCGTAAGGCCAAGTCGACTGAACCGTCAGGTCCGCCGGCCACGGGCAAAGCTTCATTACCTCCCAAGCCGGCTTTTACCGCTCGCAAGCATCAACATCGACCGTGACATACCTCAGCCTTGTAACCATATACCACACGAGCCACATTGTACAACAACCATCAAATTCGCATTCGCATCGTGCTCAAAGAGGAGAGAGGGAGGGGGGAGAGGAGAGGAAGAGGAGAGTGCGAGGGAAAGGGGAAAGGGGAAAAAAATGTCCCAGAACAGTTTGGCGCCGTCGTCCCATCTGGTACACGGAGCGACGGATTCCTATAGCGTTCTGGGATATCACAACGTTCTCGTCCACCACGGCTGCGACGGCCCCGTGAGGCGCCGCAGCCCTGGCACCCGAATGCAACCTCGCCAGGCACCGCAGAGCCAACAAAGGCAAAGCGGCAGTCGCGAGTGGGTGTGGCTGGCAGCTAATCACAGCGAGCGAAAGAGGGAGACAAGCAGTGAGTAATGCTGCTTCCTGTCGTCGACGGCCAAACCCAGCGGTCAGGCACTTACACTTGTTTTTGATCGAAGAGAAGAAGGCAGCAGTGCGCGCCCAGAGCTCAGTCTTTATACTTTTGTCTCGGCTCCCTTTCCGCTCCCACCGCTCCCACCGCTCCCACCGCAGCCACGGGGGCGCGACTTTTCCTTTTCTTTTTTTTTCTTCGGGTGGATTTCTTCCAATCACAGCTGAGAGGCACTTTTTTGCTTTCTCGCGCGAAAGGAAGATCCGGCGCTGGCTTTGGTGGCTTTGGGACGACGGGGAGAAAATCAAAGTCGAGCTGCTCATCCTCATCGACCACCATCTCTGATCGTACGCCATCCCTGCGACCTTTGGCAACCATGGCGGCATTCGTTCCGGCGTGCTCGCGCTGCCTCACGCGGCCCTCCACTTCCTCTTCGGCCTTCAACCTGGCGTCGCTCGCCTCGGCTCTGCCCTCCACCTCGTACGTCGCTCCTCCGACGCTGCATCACCACGCCCCCTTCTCCACCTCGTCCGTCGCCGCCGAGTCGCGCAAGCGTCGCACGGCACGTCTGAAGCGCAAGAGCAACCTGGACCAGCGCATCCTCAAGGTGCGCATGCTCGACGCCTCCAAGCCCGACCCCGTGCTCGGTCACCAGCTCGGCCAGGAGGGCGAAAAGATCTGGTCCGCCTCGGAGCTGGCGCGCATCGTGCTCGACAAGAACGCCGTCTGGGGCGTCAAGGAGGATCGTCGCGGTAACCTCGTCCCCCTCTCCGCAGCCGAACTCTCCACCACCAACCCGGTCGACGTTGCTGCTGCCAAGGATGCCAAGGAGTACGGCGGGCCGGCGAGGCTCAACTTTGGACTCGACGCCAAGGATCGTCAGCTGCTCTTTGACGATTTGCCGCACGTCATGGTCAAGGACCGCATCTTGGATTCGTGGAACCTGGGAACGCTCGTGCGCGGTACGGCCAATGCGGCCGACGTGGCTGCGTTTGATGCCGAGTACGAAAAGGTGCAGCAGGAGGAGCGCGCCAGCACGCATACGCTGGCGCGCGTGCTCGACCTGCGCAACGCAAGCGGCAAGGGCATCCAGGTGGAAAACATCCGTCGCATCATCAACCACTTTGGCGGCCCCCAACAGGATACCGGCTCGCCCGAGGTCCAGGCCGCCGTACTGACGTACCGCATCAGGAACCTCTACCACCACCTCCAGACCAACCGCCACGACAACTCGAACCGAAGATCCATGACCAGCCTCACCCACAGCCGCGCAAAGATCCTCAAGTACCTCAAGCGCAAATCGCCCCAGCGATACCACCAGATCCTGCCGCGCATCGGTGTGGATGCTCGCGCCGTCGAGGGCGAAATCGTCGTACCAGGCAAACCGAGGATCGCGCGTTCCTAACCACACCACGCTTTTCGCTTTCGCCACCTTGTGTATCTATAACGTGCGCTCAAGCCAGTCCTCAGTTCCCGTGTGGTGTGGCGACGAAGAGGTATGGCAGCTTGGATTGAGCTATGACCGCGCGGGGAGGACGCTTTGACGGCGCAGTTCCTGTGCGGACGCATGCGGTTTTCTCTCGTGCTCGCCACTCTCGGTGCCCAGATCGAGCCTACTGGAGCGTGTCAAGACCAACTTGGGGAGGGTGTTGGCAGCGTCGGCATTGGTGGGTGGCGGTTCGAGCAGTGGTTCGAGCAAAAAGCTCACGTCCAATCCCACGTCCTTGAGCATGGCTGCGAGCTGGAGGGTGATCTGCGTAACCTCCTTGACCAGCGCGGACTGTTGGATCGACTCCTGCTCCACGCCGTACACCTGTCTGCGGAAGAGTTCTGCGTATTCCTGGACGCGCTCGCACGCCCACTGGACAAAGCCGCTGGCCATCTTGCCGTCCTTGAACGCCGCCATGTACCATTCGGCCGTATTGCGGATGAGCGTAAAGTGCACCGTGGCGAGTTCGGAGATGTAGAGCCCCGTGTCGCCCTCGAACTTGATCTGGCGCGTGCGCTTCTTGAGCAGCTGCGTGCGCGCATCCAAGAACAACCGCCGCGCTTCTTCGCCCCGATCCAGCCGCAACAGGTACGACGCATTGCGAACGACGGCCGACTTTTTGAGCGACTGACGCATAAAGTCGCCCGAAATCGCCGTCACCAACTCCTGCGCGCGCACCGCCAACTTTGACGCCAAGTCCACCGACGCCGCATCCGAAGACGTGTACGTCGACAGCACCCCACGTCCCTTTTCGATCAACGTCACGGCGTGATCCCACTCGCGCAGCGCAATGCACACCGCCAACTCGTCCGCAAACTCGTTGTTCCACCGACCGGGATCCTTGCGTTCCGAGGCAGCGGTTGCTGCCGCTGCCGCCATGACCCCACCCTCACCCCCCGCACCACCCTCGCCATCCTCGCCGATCGGCGTCAACAAGGTATCAAACGCAGCTGTCAGGCTCGATGCACCATCGGCACGTTCGAATCCCGTCTGGCCGAGCGTGGGAGAGGCAAGCAGCGTCGAGTGACGTTTGGCCGCCTCGGCGGCACCGTAGTCGGCATCGTTGCGGCGTTTCTTGGCGAGCTCCTCGGCGACGCGGCGAAAGGCGTTGAGGAGCGCGCGCTTGTCTTCGGCGCGATCGGTGCGGTAGACGTAGCTCTCGCGTGCGCGCTTGATCTTGATGGCGTTGGTCAAGTCGCCGCCATCCTTGAGGTCGATGACGACGATCTCGGCGAGGCTGAAGCAGCGCTCGGCAACCAAGCGCACCTTGGAGCTCATCTGGCGCTTGCGGCGCGTGGCGATCAGCAGTAAATCGTCAAGAAGGAAGAGGGCGACGCTGTGCTGCGGCTTGTACGTGGCGGCGTTGAGCTCGGTGAAGCTGCTGGCTTCGGCGATGAGGTGGCGGCCGGGAACGTACGGCAGGAACTTTTGCGAGCCCTCGATGCCCTCCCACAGCGAGGTGATCTGGGCACGGTAGATCTGCTGCAGATCCACGGTGCTGTTTCGATTCGCCGTCTTGGTCGCCTGCTTTGCGTTTCGGGAGAAGGACGAGAAGGACGACGATGAATCGTCGAGCTCAAGTGCATGCGGTAGCTGCTTCCACTCGGCGAGCAGCTCCTTGAGTTCGAGCATGTCATTTTCGAGCGTTGCGATCTCCTTGGAGATGGTGATGAATTCGGAGTAGTTGCGAAACACCTGTCGCTTCAGGTCGTCGTTGGCGGCGTGCTTGGCGGCGGCGAGCGACGCCTTGAAGGTGCGCAGGCTCGACTCCGAGTGGTGCGAGAGCTTGGCGCGCAGATACGCCTGCGGGTCGAATTCGGCCTGGCTCAGCAGCTGCAGGTCTACGGCGGGATCGCCCTCGAAGACGTCGGTGCGCGTGCGCGCCGTGTCGGACGACTTGCGCAGCGCATTCAGCTCGGCGTCGTCCGGATCGTACGCGGCATCGTCGTCGTCGCCACTGGCTCGGCGTGATGCCGACTGGGCGACGGGCGCAAGGTAGCGCTCGTCCATGTCGCGGTGCGGACGGTCGTCGATCTGGATCTCGGGCATGGGCGGCAGGCGGGGGACGGCAGGTGCAGCGCTGAACCCGCCCGGGCCCAGCTGCGTAGGCTCGGCATAGCGCATCGAGAGACGCTTCTTGAGATTGCTGCCCACCTCGGACGCCTTCTTCTTGGACTTTTTGAGCACATGCCGCGTGCTGCTGCTGCTGCCGCCTGCCGAGGCGCCGTCGTGCGACTGGGACGGCTGCGAGGAAGATGAAGACGAGGCGTGTGGATACGCATGCGTGCTGGGCACCGGCGGGATGACCGGTTGGCCCTCCTGCGCGTACAGCGTCATGGGACGCGAGCGGAGCGACCTCGACATGGTGGGCTGCTGCTTGCCCGCGAGAGGCGTATAGCCACGATGGGTTGGAGTAGGAATAGTGAGTGGTGGTGGACGTGAAGCAGCAACGTCGAAAGCACCCGACGACGCACAGATCACACAGGCGTGGCGACATTCTCTGCTTGTGCATTTTGAAGAGGTCTAACATAAACAAAAGAAATTCGCCTTCAGGGTCCACGTTCGGAGCGGCCGACGGATCTTTTTTTGGGTTCGCAGCGAGGCGAAGGCGGCATCGGCCCGAAAAGGGACGCTAAGAGAAGCGAAGAGTAGTCAGCCTAATCGATCGTCTCCTTCTCCATCACCACCTCCATCACCATCACCATCATCACGCCTTGATCACCTCGATCGCCTCGCTCCGAAGCGCAGCAGTCGGCCAAAAGTAGCGTTCGCTCGGCTTGCGAGGCTGTGGCTTCTCCTCTCCTTTCCTTGCTTCATTACCTCCACCCAATCTCGCCCGCCCCCACCACTCTTTTGGAACTCGCAACCTCGGAACTCAAAGCCAATCGCCCCGGACCTGGAAATGTCTTGCTTCTAAGCTTATTCTATCTATCGCCAGTGGCTACACATATACCCTCTCGACTCCATCGCTCCGTATAGACCGCGCGCCCACAACGATGAAGTTCGCCCGCTACCTCGACGAAAACACCGTGCCCGAGTGGAGAAAGGTCTACATCCAGTATCGCGGCCTCAAAAAGCTCATCAAGCGCGTCGCAGCCCATCGAGAGGCTAGGCTCCGATACGAGGCGGAACTCGGAATCACACGCACCCAGTCCACCTCCACCGCCGTCGGTCCTGCCTCGTTGGGTGGTTCGGCGGCGGCGGCGGCGGCGGATCCTGCGCTTCGTCGACGCACCCCCGCCTCGGCTTCGTCGCGTCAAGATCGCTCAGGCTTCCTCGCGCGCAATGACTACGGCGCCGTCGATCCAACACCAGCCGCGGCGCTCCCGTCTCTGCCGCCCGTCACGCTGCAAGGCACCGGTCTTCGCCTCTCGTCCGACGGATTCAGCTACGACGCCGTGGCCGACGCGGCTGCAGCGCATCCTAGCAAAGCACCGCCCAAATCTGCCCCTTCGCACGATGTAGAGGCGCAGCTTGCTCCGCCCAGCTCAGCCCGCGAGGCAGCCGCCCAGGCTGACATCGTCTCGGAATCCGATTCTGATGACCCGACCGCAGCTGTCCCCAAGCGCCCACCACCGCGTCCGCACGCCAGAGTAACCTACGAGTCAGATCAGGCACACTCGGCATCCCATCCTACACGCAGAGCCAACAGCTCGGGCGCCTCGAGCAAGCAGCGTCTACTCTCGCGTGCCGGCTCGTCCAGCCACCTCTCGAACCGCTCCTTGAAGCTCGAACCGCCCAAGTCCCTCGAGGAACTGATTGATGCCCACTTTGACGACGAAGAGGCCAAGATCTTTTCGGCCTGCAACGCCGAGCTCGACCGCATCGTCACCTTCTACGAGGCGCAGGAGCACGAGGCGGCGCGAAAGTACGCCCAGCTCGTGCGCCAGCTCGCCGAGCTCGCAGAGCATCGCCGCGAGTACCGCGCCAAGTACAACATCAGCGACCGCGACCGCACCGCCGCCGGATCGCACCGCCACCGCATGTCGCAGCTCCTCTCCAATCTGCCAGGCTCCAAACTGGTGGTGGCGGACGAGGTGGTGAACCGCATCAAGTCCATCCCTGCCCTCGCTGCTCCTACACGCCGCTCGGCAGAGGCGCCCGGCGACCGCACCTCGCTCGACCTGCAGCACAATCTCGACGGCCCCGCCGCCGCCGCCACTGCCCAAGACAACAGCGACGACGATGCGGGCGGGCGGCGCAGGGCGCAGGCGCTCGCCAAGATGCAGGCGAGCCTGCGTGGCTGGGACGACGAGACGGACAAGGCGATGCGCGAGGCCAACAAGGCGGCGGCCATGAGCCACGACCCGGAAGCGTACGCGGCGGCCCGCAAGAAGCTCAAGGCGGCGGTGATCGAGTACTACAAGTTCCTCGACATCCTCACCAACTACAAGATCCTCAACCGCACCGGCTTTGCCAAGATCATGAAGAAGCTCTCCAAGGGCGTCGGGGTGGCGTGTGCGGAGCTCTACTATGCCGACAAGGTGGCGCCCACGCGGCTCGTCACGTCGGACCGCATCGAGCGCCTGCGCAAGGCCACCGAGGACATCTACGCCGCCTACTTTGAGCACGGCAACCGCAAGCAGGCGCTCAACCGGCTGCGTGCGCGCGAGGACCACACCACGCACCACTACAGCGTCTTTCGCAGCGGCTTCTACCTGGGCATCGCGCTGTGCGCCGTGGTGGGCGGCGTGATCGAGTCGCAGCAGGAGAGCACGCACCGCGCCATCCCGCAGTGGCAGGCCATGCTGCGCGTGTACGGCGCCGAATTCATCCCGACGCTGTTTGCGCTGCTCTTTGGACTCAACCTGGCGTGGTGGCACGAGGCGCGCATCAACACGACGTTCATCTTTGAGTTTGACGTGCGCACCACCATGGACCGGCGCCAGTTTTTCGAGCTGCCTGCGCTGCTGATGCTGCTGCTGGCGTGCTGCTTCTGGGTGTCGTTTGTGAATCCGTTTCCGGACGCGATTGCGCCGACGACGTGGCCTACGGTGTGGCTGGTGATTGCATTGGTGCTCATCCTCAATCCGCTGCCGGTCATGCTGCCGGCCAGTCGGTGGTGGTTCGTCAAGAGCGTCGCGCGCGTCTTCACGGCCGGATGCAAGCGGGTCGAGTTCCGCGACTTTTTCCTGGGCGACGAGCTCAACTCGATCGCGTGGACGCTGTCGAACCTGTGGTACGTGGGATGCGAGTGGCATCACGACTGGGCGCATCCGGATCGATGTTCGCCCAACGACACGTACTGGACGGCGTTGCTGCTGGCGGTGCCTGCGTTGTTGCGACTGGGGCAGTGCATCCGACGTTGGGTGGACAGCGAGTACCGGACGCATCTGCATCTGGTCAATGCGGGCAAGTACGCGTCGGCGGTGGTGTACAACTTTGTCTACATCCACTACCGGCGGAACGGCTCGCGCGGAGGGGGCGACAAGGCGGTGTGGATCGTGTTTGGGGTGGTGTATTCGGTGTGGCACATTGCATGGGATCTGGTGATGGACTGGAGCGTGCTCAAGCCGCGGGCGCGCTACTTTATGCTGCGCAACGAGATTTCGTTTCCGCAGCCGGTGTACTATGTGTTTATGGTGGTGGATGTGGTGGGGCGCAGTGCGTGGGTGGCCTATCTGATTCCGGGGCGGGCATCGGTGACGCTGCGGTCGTTCCTGGTGGCGCTGGCCGAGATGCTGCGTCGGGTGTGTTGGAACAACCTGCGCGTGGAGAACGAGCAGATCGGCAATACGGACTCGTTCAAGATCGTGCGCGATCTGCCGCTGCCGTATCGGCAGAAGCTGCGCGAGGACGCCGAGGCGGGGTCGGATACGGACGGCGTGCACAGTGGGGGCATCTTTGCGAATGTGCGTCTGGCGAGGCTGCGCAAGAAGGCGCACGCGGTGGCTACGCACACGCCTCCGTCGGAAGGCGAACGCATCGCTGGCCAAGAGGAGGCCGAGGCCGAGGGGGTGGGGGCCAAGAGAAAGTCGCTCATCGAAGGGTTGCGCACCAAGCTTGTTCCCGACGCCCGGTCGGACGAGATTGGCAAGTCGCTCGACGAGCGTGCGGTGACCAAGGGCCGGTCTGGGCGCGACTATACGCCGCGGCGGGGCGAGTACGACCGTGGCCTCGTCGACGTTGACAGCGACGACGAGGACGAGGAAGACGACGAAGAGGAGGACGATGCGCACGAGGCGCACGCGAGCAGCAAGGAGCATACCTCGGACGACAGCCGTGGCACCTGGCTACCCCAGCCACCACCTCGAGCCGTGCCTCGCCAACGACGGCGTGATACTCCAACTTAACACTATTTAGCCAGGTTTTTATGGGAATAATGTCTCGCTATCTTGCTTCTGTCTCGAGTGTGTCACGGAAGGTGTGGGTCCAACGTGGGAATGAATGGCCGGCGTCGTGTCTTATTCGGCGACCGAGTGGCAAGGATCTAGTGGCGTGTGGCGTCGTGCTAGTGGGCCAAAGGAGTGGAAGCGAGAGACGTGCACTGGCATGTGGTGTAGGGCGAAGCGGGGCCAAGGCGAGTCGGTTCCTGCGTTGGGATAGTGTGTTTCAGTAGGCGAGGCCCCCTGGCGCTTCGATTGCTCTATCGGGCTGCGATCGACTTTGGCCACCGATGCCAATGTTAAGACGACGAATTGCCAATAGCGAGGGTTGGAGGAGAAGCGCATGCGGAAGCTGTTGCGAAGAACGAAAAACCGGCGAGTGGCTGCTGTCGGAGTTGCCGATTGAGCTTTCCGCATTTTCGGCGCCTTGTTTTTTCGGCGCCATTTTTCCTGTTTCCCATGGATCCGAATCGTGTCAGAAAAGCCAATCTCGAGTCTATACTAGCTCGGATCTGATGCCGGACCCTGCCTTTTCTCACTATCACTTGATTTCTCTCGGCACATCCTTTTCGAAGGCTAGTTTAAGGAAAGTGGGCTAGAGGAGAATCCCCGCACGATGGGTTCGACGTCGAGCGGGAAGCCAAGGCATGAATTCGGCGGCCGTGAGGGTAAGAGCGATGAGACACAGACGGCCGACTGATGCGGTGATGCGGGGCTGTTGAAGGCGATGCAGCGCTGTCCGCATTCGATAAAGCAGAGAAAAATTGAGAGCCCGACAACCAGCGCGCCTCTTTTTTTGCCACCAACACTCACTCGCCGACCGAAAAAAAGGGACCAGAACAGGAGCCAGAAAAGGAGCCAAAAAGGACACCACGCGCCTGCCGAGCCTAAAAAATGCAATGTCTTGGATCCGGCGAGGCGGGACTCAACCCGATTTCCGTCGCAGAGTCCGACAGTCACACGCGCTCACCGCAGTCACATCAGTCATCCAACGCCTTCAGGGTCGCCAAAGTCACAGTCGACAGAGCCAAAAGCGCCTCCACACTCGCCAGCCGCTGCGAGATCACGGCTGCATCCGTCACAGCATCGGCACCCTCTCTTCTCTCTCTCTCTCTCCACCGCCACCATCCCCATCCGCCCTCAACTCAGCTCCGAGCCGAGGCAACCCACCAAGAAAAGGTCTCAGATGGCTTCCCCATTCGCCGCTCCCCGCCTACCTCAACCTTATCGTTCCTAACAGCCCAGCCATCCGCCGCATTCTCTCCCTCCGGCTCTCACCACATCGAGGCGCTTGCCGCTGCTGCACATCTGACCGCCACCGCCGCCATCCCAGCCTCTTGAGCCTCTTGATCATCGTGCCGACGTCGCCCTACTCCGCCCAGTTTAACCACACGCGCCCATACTACGCCACCCCGCCCATTGTCATCCGTCCCATCTCCGTCCGCTTCCGCATCCATCTCGCAAGAATCGCAAGCCTCGCCGCGTCCTGGCTCAATATATACCTCGCTCGGTAGCGCGTCCCTTCTCACCTACACACACCCATCCTTTCGCCTTACGATCCACTCTGGTAGTGGCATCCACATCCACAACTCGTCACCATGGCTACGCTCCAGATGCACAGGCCCAAGCCGCGTCACCGTTCCCCGTCCCTCAACCAAGCCGCTCCCTCGTCTCCCACCATCATCCGCACCCCAGACTTCATCCTCCTCCCCTCGGTACCCACACACGAACCCGAAGACAACCTCCCCAGCCCCATGGCCCTCCAGCACCAGTTTGCCATGGCCCAAGCGCAGGCACAAGCACAAGCTCAGGCACAACGCAGCAGCAGCAGCTGCAGCAGCAGCAAAAACTCGCTCGGACTCGGACTCTGCTCCTCCTCGGACGAGCACCACAAGGATGCCGACGAGCTCGAGGAAATCGCAGAGCCCGAGCCGCAGCCAGAGTCCCACCTCGATCACGCCACCACATCGCACGACGCCCTGCGCGACCTCCGCAACCACCAGCTCGAGTCGCTCCAGGCCATCGTACACTCCATCGCAGACGCCCACTTGCAAGAAGCAACACACGCCGCTGCATCCTCAAACACCCCACACGCAGACCTCACTCGCATCCTCGACGACATGTTTGCCTCGCTTCGTCGCATCGGCGGTCACAATGCGCCTCTCTCGCCCACCTTTGCCCGTCCTTCCGCACACCACATGTCCGACCTCGACCGTCTCGTCCTCCTCGTAGACACCTTCTCTCAAATCACCGCCACTGCCAACAACGCCGAGCACGCAAGCCAACTCGCGCGACTCAACGCACTCACAAACGCGCTCGTCGAATCGAACCGTCGCATCGCCTCCAATCAACTCGACAGCCCACCGCGAACGCCTAGGTCGCTCGCATGGTCCGAGTCCATGCATCCTCGCCGCTCCTCCATCCACCAGCATCACATGCACTCGCCCCAGTCCAGCTCCCACCTGTCTGGCTCGCGCGGCTCCTGGAGCTCCACACACTCGGCTGCCACCCTCTCCACCTCCTCCGACGAGGCCGCACCCGCGCCTCACAAGCACCTCGCACCTCTTGAGCACGCCGCCGCCGCATGGTCGCCCAGACGTACCGAGCTGCTCTCTCAAGCCGGTCTGGTTCAGCCACAGCAGCAACACGTCGACGGATCCGTGTTTGACATGGCCACCATCCGCACGCGCACCAACCCTTTCTCCATCGAGACGCTCTACACTCGCGAGCCATTCGCCTCAACCACCACCGTCGCCCCGGCCCCTCGCTCGCCGCGCTCCGATCAGGCTTCCCGCGCCGCTTCCACCATCGGAGACACGTCCGACTCCATCGCAACCGCCCTACCCAACCGCAAGCGCTTCTCCGTACAGACCGACAGCGCCGCCAGCACTTCGCTGCCCGGCTACTCGTACGACGCACCCACCTACCACGCAGACGAAAAGCAAAAGGCGTCCACACTCGATGCACGCTCCGCGTCTTCAGAAGAACTGCCCGGCTACGACGCCTCGCCAGCACCAGCTGCATTCGCCGCCGATGCGAAAAAGCCGATCGAGACGCCCACGCTGCTCGAGCGACGTCGCGCCAAGTTGGCCGCACAGCACAGCGCCTACGCTGCGCGCACACCCGAGGACCTCGCCATGGTGCAGAGCTCCATCGACCGCCTCTCCACCGTCATGCCCCAGCTCAACAATCAGCGCGCCCTCTCGCCCGAGCACCAACGCCAGGCGCAGCTCGACACCATCATCGGTCGTCTCGCCCACTCCAACGCACACCGCCTCAACGACCAGCGCAGCGAGCCACCCAGCTTCCGCCCCAGCCGTCCCGCGCCCTCCCCTCACCCGACTTTGGCGCCAACGCCCGTCGAGCAAGCGCCCGAGCCCGAACTGCCCGCCACGCCCACCACGCCCGTGTCGCTGCACACGGCGCCGTCCGCATCGTCTTCGCGACGTTCGTCGCTGCTGCCCGGCGCATTCGGCCGCAAGCTCTCCATGGCCAGCATCGGCAACGCACTCCGACGCGCATCCATCTACGATGCCTCCAAGCTCAGGTCGCGCGAGGGTTCCGAGAGCAGCACCGACGGCACCACCGCCGCCGCCGCTGCGCCAGCCACGCGTCGTCGTGCCGCCACGACGGCCGACTCGCGCACCAAGTCCGACATTGCCGAAGGTCTCACGAGCCTCTTCAACGACGATGGCAAGGCGCGCAAGGCGAGCGCATCCGACGCCAGCGCCGCACGGCTGCAGGCGCAGTCCAGCTTCCGCGCCATCGACTTTGCGGACGACACGCCGCGCGGACGCGATGCAAGCCTCCAGCCGCGCGCGAGCGTCGAGGAAGAAGACGACAGCATGCTCGACGACTACAGCTTCGCCACCTTTGACACGCAAAAGTCCAACCACCGCCTCTCCGTCGTGGCGCCGCTCGACTCGCCGCACAGCCCCGTGAGCTGGGCGGCGAGCAGCAGCGCAGGCAGCCGACGCAGCTCGCAGCTCGTCTCGAGCCCCGCCACGCCGACCTGGCCGCGGTCGCCGTTGACGCCCGTGTCGCCTGCGGCGTCCAAGCGCCTCTCGAAGCCCGCGGTGACGTTCGCCGCCGACACGCTTGCCGCACCGCCGCTCGGCAAGTCGACCGCCGCATCGTTCCAGTCGCAGCTGCGCGACTCTGGATTCACGCCCCTCCGCCCTGGTAAGTCGCTTGCCTCCGTCCCGCCGCCCTCTCTGCATGAGTACCGCCCGCCTGCTGCTGCCTCTGCTTCCACAACCATCGCTGTCAGCAACCCGTGGCAGGACATCGTCTGCTACGCCGTCAGCGGCATCGAGTATGGTGCGGGAGATGCAAAGCTGTGTGACTCGTCGTCTTGGCCGCACAAGAGCAACACCGCTGACCCCCGCGCGCGTCCTTCTGCCTCTGCTGCCCCCGCCTCTACCTCTGCCGCAACGCCGCAGTCTGATTGCCGTGTGGACGTGGAATTCTTGGCCGAGGCGCAGCCTGCGCTCGGCACAGTGTCGGTGATGCTGTGGACGAGCACGCGCGTCGACGCGCCCGTGGAGCTGGCGTACGAGCTGGTGGCCGAGCGCGGAGACGTGCATAGCCGGCGACTGCGTATATGGCCTGTGGCGCGCAATGTACTGCTCAACGTGTTTGCGAGTGAAAGCCGAGCGGGTGGGGTCGAGGTGGTCTTGCCTGCGGCGGTGCGGCTTGGGCAGAGCGGGCGTGTAGCGGTGGGCGCGCAGTTGAGCCGGGTGAAGCTGGTGCTGACCGAGGCCGAGGCACGCAAGGGAGCGGAGGCGAGTCGTGCCGAGGGGATGGTGGAGTTTCCGCTTTCTGCGCGCGAGCTGTCTTGCCGGCAGGAGGGTGGTTTGGGATGTGCGATGTGCATGCGGGCTGGACGATCGACGCCAGTGATGCGGTGGGAGGGTGGGATGGACTGGAGGGCGTTGCCGTCCGAGGGATGGGAGGAGCTGGTAGACGCCTGGATGTGTCACGGCGACCAGGAGCTCAACCGCAGCTTGACCGAGACGGCGGTCAAGTTTTCGTCCTCGCTGCATACCCAAGCCTCGACGTCCGCGCGGACCGTCTGGGTGGGGGACACGTACATCGTCGCATCGCTGGATGCACTTGAACAAGTGGTTGTGGAACAAAACCAGGTAAGTCTTCTTCTTCTTCTTCTCCTTCTTCTTTAGTTGTGAGCTCCGCGTTGGGAGCACCTGGCGTGGTTGGTCTTGCAGCGAGACAGTCGCCGGGTTTTAGGGGGTCCTGTGCCGTGGCTTTGCGATCAACGGACCGGATTTAGAAAGTCGATTCTCCGCACCGCTGTGTGCAAGTCTATGGAGACGGTCGATTGATACACCGCAGTCCAAGATGAACCTTGCCAGCGTCCCTCGCTGCTGTGCTTTTGGAGGTGTGATGCAATACCGCCTTTGTTACAAGTGTTCGGTATGGCGTACGTCTTTTTGCATTCTCAGCGGCGGCGGGGGGGATGGGTTTGGAAAGGGAGTGGATCGGCTTGAACAGAACACCTGCATGCTGTGTAGGATCTTCAGCTCTGCATCTACCCGACGCACTCACATTGCCGCATGCTGACACGCTTTTCTGCAGGTTGCGTGTTCTTTATGCAGGACTGCTCTTGGCACAGTGGAAGGATCCAGCGCTCGATTGAGCAAGTACCTGATCGAGCTGACGGGGGATGCGTCGAGCTGGATGGGTGTGTTGTTGGCTACGCTTCAGTATGCAGCGGCCTCGCACGGTGCACGACGCTTCCACCTCTGCTCACCTTTACCCTCGACGACGGGGGTGGAAGCATGGCTGTTCTCGCGTGCCCAGTACACTACCTCGCTCTCTCGACACTGGACCTCGTCACAAAACGCAGAGTGTGTTTGGAAAGGCTATCGTGTTCTCTACCGCACGCCTACGAACCAAGACAGCGAGCACGTCCAACTGCCCGCCTCGATTGCACACTGGACCATCGAGGCCATGCAGCGCTGCAACGACGTGCTGCCCGCTGAATTGCGCAACGCACTCCCTGGTTGGAGCACAGCCTTCCTTGCCCGACCGACGTAGATGCCATTCCTCACACATCCAACAGCCTTGATAGTGGGTGCAATCTCCATCATCGACAACCTTTACATTGCGCGTGTGTTCATCGAGAGGCGAGGGAGGGATGGGGAGGAAGGGGGTTTGAAAAGGTGGAATAGTGTTAGAGCGTTGAAAAAGGTGCTTTGCTGGCGACGCGCTCTCGCTTTTGTGCGTGTGCGTGTGCGTGTGCGTGTGCG